TGAGGTAGCTCAGCAGGATTAATGAGATCCACAGAATTGTTCCCAAAGTGTCACTTTAATGGCTCCATGTGGGTCCACAAGATAGGCAAACAATTTTTTTTTTTCACCATACTCTGTCTTCACTTTTTTTGTTGATGACATCTGAATAAGTTTGGCTTTGATGGTGATACTTTGATTTGTGTTTGCAGCTGAAATTGATTGGATATTGTTGGCACTTGGCAACTCAATTCTTGAAAAAGGTATTTTTTTTGTAGGCTCTAACAGTACATTGTTATTCATCAGTACTGTGGTTGCATCTCCTGCTCTTTCAATTCTAAAATTTCGAAGTTTTATTGGAGATTTCTTTTTGCTCATTTGATCAAAGTGTTCCTGTTTACTTCCGGAGACGCAGACTCCTCTTACTAAGCCATCAGTGGTTTGTATGGACATGTCAAAGTAAGATGTCTTGCTACTTTTTTCAGTTGGAGACACATTGTGTAAGAAACCAACAATCTCTTCTTTTTGTTCTTCCATTGACTGCAAGTGAAAAAGAACCTTTTGAGTTTGTTTCATAGCAATATAACGTATTTCAAAATTTCTAATAACATAGGGAGCACTGCATCAAAAGACGACGACTACTACGACTACTACTACAAATTTAACTATAACGACAAAATGCCAAAAAAAAAAACTTACCTAGGTGAATTATAATTTTTTATTTGTTTACTTATTCATTATAAATCAATCAACAACAGCAGCCTCTACAGACAGGAAGGAATAACACTAAATGAAGGTTGGGGAGTGCAGTATACTGCAAACTGTTTATTAGATGATACTAATACTGAAAATCAAAGTGAACAAGAAATAGAAAAGAGCAGTGGTTCCAATAAGCAAGATGGAAATGACAGTAATGATAATGATGATCAGTGGACTGAAGATGAAGCAGAAACACCTGCCAGTGTTACTGACACCATGTTGACCAACACACATTATTTTGAAGACAGTCTGCCTCAACGTATTTTAAATGTTGCACCAGGAGAGGGAAACAAACCCTTAAGTATATTCAGAGATCAATATTCTGAAGAGTTAGCATATCCTGGTATATTCCTTGGTCAAAGTCGACCAGAAAATAAAGATAGACTAGCTAATGTTCATTATAGCGACGTTTTTAAATCTGAACTAAGACGATCAGATAGGAGAGCTGCTATGTGTGTTGAAAATATATTCTTCAAAACAAAAAAGCTTCAAATGAAAATTCTCTTAGGAAAATCACAAGTTGCACTTAGGAAGTGCAAAGGAAATAGCAAATCTTCAAATGCTGGACAGTTGAAATGTGAAGGAGCAATTGAGCGCTTGATTCATCTTGATGAAGGATTCCAATTTTTGAAAGCATTGATACGTTACAACTGTATGCAAAGATCTGTTCATAGCGATGCTTAGATAGTAATTACCATGAAGAATACTAGTTCTAGGTTTCTCTCCTCTGTATAAAATCGCCACAGCTTTCGCACATGTTTGTCTAGTGATAGATGTTTTCATGTGTGTAGTGAAATACACGTATCTTCTGCCATTTCGTAAATCCATTTCGTAAACAGGGCATATTATATCCCGCATTGGGCTTTGTAATCCCCAAGTGAGACTTAATAATTCCCTTAACGGGCTTTTCATTCCCCAAATGGAGCTCAATTGTTCCCCGAAGGCACTTTGCATTCCCCAAATGGGGCTCATAAAGCTTATTTTGCGTCCTGAGCACTTGCAAAATGGCCGGGCGGTGATCGTGTCGGCGCCGAGAAAGCTTCAGTCGATTTACAAATTCAAAGCATCTTTCAAAACCTTTCACTCGGCCGGAATGACACCCAGTGCGAATGCTGTGGCAAAATGAGGAAACACCTTTTAAGAAATCCATTACAAATATGAAAAGCGAAAAGATCACTCACCTTGCAAGCAATAATACACCCTGGCTTGAAGAACGAAATCAGGACGATACGACGCAACCCAAACGTTTTTCGAAAGCACATAGTTTGACGGATTTGACTTTGTCCTTTTCTCAGATTTGATTGGTTCCGAGTCTTCCCGGAAATCGGTAGTTTGCCACGACCTCTTTCCTTTGTCCTTTCCTCGTATCCGATTGGATAGATTATTCCCCTGAGGAACGAAGTTTGCACCCGAAAGTATTACAGGCCGAAAGTATTACAGGCCGAAAGTATTACCCCTCCGTGCATACTTCATGTATCGTCTCACCAAATGGAATACGCAGTGAAACGTCAAGAGTAAATCCGAGATCTTGTCGTATATGAAGTAGCTGGTCGCGCGTTTTACAGCTTATCTAAGTGTCTGCATACATTATAAATGCAGCAGACACAAAAACCCGTAACCGTAGTCACTATCAACGCGTACCTCGCAGAGGTTTGCATAAAGAAACTCGATTTCCTTTTTAACTAGCGTAGATTGTTTGCCAGAACTATTTGGATTACAGCTAAGGCCAGTCATGGTTGCCACAGCCATAGGCGTTTGAAATTCCCTGACTTTTCCCTGACTTTTCCCTGACTTTTCCCTGACAAAT